AAATATTGTACTTCTGTGATCATTTCACGATTCCGCCCTGTTGCTTATTTGTCTTAATTTCGTTTGTTTTGCTTCTTCGAGGGAAAAAGATACATTGTAGGTACTTGATACAAGATAAAGTCCTAAAATTGTTTATAATTAACTTAAAAATGCGTGTATTTATTATCATTAATAACTAGTGGTGGATGGCATCGTGCCTTAAGACAAATTGCTGGAATTTTCGAACCGGGATTTAATTTTTTTAAAATGTATTACATTTATGAAAATTTGATGAGCACCTGTCTAATAATCATTTTTAACCGACAAATGAGTTTTTTTTTAAACTTTTGCATTAGATCTCCCAAACCGCTAGACCTGGTTTTCTAAAATATTAACCAGTTCTTTATCCGCCATTTCATTAAGTAAAATGTTATTCGAAATGTGAAATGTTTGCTCCGTTATTTCAAAAACTGAATTGTCATTTTTTGCTCTTTCTGCAAATCCCCGTATCCTCTAAACGACTGACCTGCCTTTGCCAAAAACTAATCAGCTCGTCTCCCAATCAATAGGAATCGAATGTTTTTTAAATCATTCAAATCAGTTAATCCATGCTCACAAAATCGTGGGCGAAAGTTTGAATTCGAACATACATACATACACGCTACAAACATATACAAACACACACACATACATCATCTTTTTCTAAGGTATGCCAAATGTTCAAAACCTCTGAAACGTGAAGATGTGTCACAATTTTTATTTTTTTTTTTTTTTTTTCGAGAAAACTATAACTTACCCTGCGGGATGTTAAAAATCCTAATAATATCTTACAGCATTTGTACTACTTTAAAAATAATGTTCTGATTGTCTTTAATTTTATACTAATATCTTCAAATTTAATATAAGATTGGTTTATGGTGGTAATGAATAAATGAGTTGGTTTCAAATGGTTAATTTCGCAAATTTCAATTCATTATAATATTTACCGAAAAATATAATAAAAGTTTAAAATGATAAATATAATTCAATATAATAGATGCTATAGTGGTTGCAATAAGAACACACAATTTCTAAACATTTGAAAATGATTGATAAAAATACCACGAACAATAAGAAAGCAAACAAAAATGCATAATGATATTAAACTATCTATTTTAAAAATCACATAAAATTATATGGGTACATTTACCCTTCTGTGCACACTAGTAAAAGTTTTAAAATACAAGTGTTCTTTCTTTTTAACCCTTGGTGTTGTAAAAAATAAACCCTATCTGTATACGACCCTTAAGTAAATATAGATGCATACAAAAACCTATCCCTTCCCGCAATAAATGTTATATTACCACATTATAAAAACATTTAAGTTTTTCGTAAAACTCTTTCTTTAAAAAGGAAGGTGAGCTTTGGACATTTAATATAGAGTTCTTTTTTAGCAATTTTTTTTTATTTTTTATTTATTTTCATTCTGAAATCTATAAAAATAATTATATTTAACAAGTTGTTTACAATTGATTAACCTAGATACTGTTCTATATTATAAAAATCTAATCAAAAACGAAGATTTCTCGATTTGGTATATAAAAATCCAAACTAGTATTACTAGAAATCCAAACTAGAAAACTATATTTACTAGATAACTAGAAGCTAGATTTAGCAAATATACATGAAACTGTCAAATTACAAAATTATTAAATGCAATTTTTCGAATATAAAATAATATTTGAAAAAACGAACAGCAAATCCAAAAAAATCAATATAAATATGATTATAATTTAAAAAAATAAACAATTCGAAAATCTGCAAAATTTTCACTCCTCGACAACTAAATGCTAAAAAATTTTTTAGATTTCAAACATTTTATTACTAGTCATTATAATTAGTAGAAACTCTATATTAATATTTCTTGATGCCAAAATATTGCATATTTCAAATGACTTAAAATTTGGTTATTATAAGTGAATTTTATTCTACTCAAATTTATTAAAAATTATGGTACATAACAAATTAAAAATACTCTGAGATGTTTTACGCCAAGAATAGCCAGAAATGGTCTTATTATTAATTTTATCTCTTACTTTATTATTCGTTGAATTAATAAAATTAAGTTTAAAACTTTTTGAATATAAAATAATTGCAATAGTTTTAAAATTTAGATATAAAAAAGCTAAAACTACATCCATTTTACATGGCCGAGGCAATATCTGTCCTCGGACTGCGAATATTTTTGGGTTAAATTCGCAAAGTTGTGGCGCTCGCGGCACGCGCATGTTTTATTCTCATCCGGGAAAGGAGTTTTTGGCAAATCATAAAAATAAAATTTATGCTATTATTGCACAGGCAATTTTTGACCAGAACTCTTTCGCGTGTTCGTCATAAAAGAAGGATTTTTGCAAAAAACAGATATATAGACATATCGGTAAAATAAAATTTTTGCGTACATCGTAAACGGATTCTGCTCAATAAACGAAGGGGTTTTAAAAGAGTTTAAATGTTTTTGCGAATAGTAAAATGTACAGTTAAGGGTTACAATGTTATAAAAAATATTAGTTTTTTGCAAAAATATACGAAAGTGTCTAACATGCGTGCAATAAAACACAAATGCAAGAGGTTTTTGAAAAGTTATTTCTTGCAAATAATAAAACGTACAAATTATCCCGTTAGCTTATTATCGAGAAATATATTTTGAAAGGATGCATATAAAAAATAACTTTGGAATAGTGGTATTTATTGCGACTAAATTATTTGAAGTTGACAACGTGTAGAAAAAATTCTCTCTGTAAAATATTCGAAGACAGAATATTTGACAGATTTGCATTTTCAGTCAATTTATTATAGTTTATATTTAATCATTTTTATACCTTTAATATACGATTTTATGACTTGTAATATATGAAAATCAGTATAGTATTACGTATTAAAAAAGTCGTCTTTTTATATAATATGCTTTGGCTTGGCTGTCATAAAAAGAATTATAATTAATAAGCAAATCTAACAGTTATTTTGAACAAAGTGGGTTTAAAAGAACTTAAATGTTCTTGCAAATCGTAAAATGTACAGGAGTTAGAGTTTTTTTAGTGTAATTCAAGAGTATTATAAGTTAGGTGCTAATTTGACTTAATACTATATTGGTTTTACACATGATAACCCAAACAGTTGTCTCAACTCTTTGTGATAAATTTTATTATTATAATTTCTGTAATCGTGCTAATATTTATTTTATGCAGCAATGCCGGATGAGTGCTATTTTCACTTGGACACATATTGCTCTCTATATTTCCAAGTGAAAACTGAAGTCACTACTGACTGACTTCAGACTCCTCGAAGCGCTCTAGCCACTTACCAACAAGTGAGAAACAGTTAGGAATAGCATAAATATATTAGTTTTTTGCAAAAATATATAGTGGTACAAATTTGTAATAAAATACAAATATAAGAGACTCCTGAAAAAATATGCAAAAAGTTCTAATTTTTTGCAAATTTTCAAATGCACATATTATTGCTTAAATTTATTATATAAAAAAGTATTTAGCAAGGATACTAAGAAAAAAAAACGATGTAGTAATGTTAATAATGTCTACAGAAAAAAGTATTGTGCATTTCTTCAGTAAAATTAATAAATTTTGTTCAATTTGGGTATTTTGTTCAATAAAATACAAATATAAGAAACTCCTGAAAAAATATGCGAAAAGTTCTAATTTTTGCAAATTTTTAAATGCACATATTACCGCTTAAATTTATTATATAAAAAAGTATTTAGCAAGGATACTGAGAAAAAAAAACGATATAGTAATGTTAATAATATATACAGAAAAAAAAATGTGCATTTCCTTCAGTTAAATGAATAAATTTTGTTCAATTTGGGTAATATGTTGGATATTTTGAAGATCAACATTCGACTGAATTTTTTTTTGTATTAAATTAAAATATCAAAAAAAAAACTGTAACTTTGAGGATATATGTAAGTTATCAAATTAAGCCTCTGAAAGGTTACCTAGTAAGCCTTTTAAATTTTAATAAATTGAATTAAACGATGCGTTCGTAAAAAAATCAGATGAGCTTTTCCTCGATTCATTTCAGTATTTTCGCTAATGTTAAAACAATTATTTTACCTTACAAATTTAAGAAATAATTCAAAAATTGAATAATATTTTTTTCAAATAACATTATTGTAAATTATTTGAACACTATAATATCTACAAAAAATATGAAATTATCTTTTGCAGGTGATAGATAATATTTACATTATTAAAATGATTTGTTTAGTAAGAACTCTGCAAATTCCTAATTTGCATTCTGT